GTGGTTTGGATACCCTTTTCTTGACCTAGCTCCAGGAACCTGAGACTTCAAAATGCCCTGCCCTGAGCCCTGAGTTGGCTTCCAAGGTTGCTGTGGGTCTCTTCACAGGGTCCATAGCAGGTTGTGAAAAGAAGTTGGCTGAGTGGGCCGAGTTGTCCTCATAGGACCCTCCCAGTTCAGGACAGAGACAGAAGCTGAAGAGATGTGCTGAACCCACACATTTTAGGGGTGGGCCTCCATGGGGAAGCCACTTGGAAGCTTCAGTGCTACTGAGAGGAATCTGTGGAGGGCCGAAGCTCCCAAAGTAAGTTGTGGGACACCCTTGTCTCCTGGGGTGGGGTCGGGGGACTTTCAGCTTCTTCTATGGTTCACCCAGGCCAGCTCCCCAGAATCTATTCACCCACAAAACCCAGGTGACTCGTTGTGAATGAGCAATAGTGTGGAGCCCAGTTAGGGCCTGGCACAGAATTTCATGGGGAATGGCTTGCCCTGACAGGATACACTCTCCTCTGTGCAGCCCTAGAGATGGGGTTCAGAGCCCCCCACCTACCTAAGCATCTGGGTGGCAGGAGCCGGTGTTCCTCCAGTGGCCCTGGAGGAAGGGGTTAGTAAAAGGAATAGACCTGTGCAGTGGAGAGATGGCGAGATAGTATTGCTCTCCTCTTTCCTTTCTTTCTATTTTATCCTGCCCTTTCCCTCTCTCTACAGGCCGGTGCTACCCTTGAGGCTGGGGACACAGGGAGAGGTCAGAGGGACCTGGGCAGGGTAGGTGTGTGTGGAAGGGAAAAAAAAAAAAAGACATTTCTGAGCTTCTTCCATAGGAGAGGAAGGGTGGGGCATGTCTAGGACAGACCAGATTTCAGGCAAGTACCTAGAAACTGGCTCCAGCTTGCAAGTGATGAGCAATATTGAGCAGCCACAGAAAGGAACCTTGATGTCTTGCTCAGCAAAATTTCAGACAAAAGCACTCATGGACCATGAGCTCGTCCAGCAAAGAGCACAGGCATTAGAAGCAAGACTTGGGTTGAATTCTGGCCCTGGGACTTTCTGTGGGTGAGCTTGAGTAAGTGACCTGGCTTCTCCATCTCATCAGCCTCTGTTTTTCCACCTGTGAAATAACATATTGCTTGTCTCTGCGTTAATTATGGCCATCAACAACCTCAAATTATTTGTTTTTAATAGATCTCTTTTCAGTCCATTGATTTGTTTTTTCTGTCCTTACCATGGGTTCAGATCTGAAGAACTGGTTGTTTTGTTTCTGGCTATAAAGGCAAAGATCATCTTTGGCAACAAATAGGTAAATACAAGTATGTTTTGTTACTGAGCTTGGTTCTAGAAAATAATTTTGTGTGTATTAAAGCTTGTAATGATGGCAATGACTATTAAGTAGATAAACCAGGATGTTGAAGACACTGATGCTTACATAACTTAATATGTCCATCACTGTTTTGTAGCCACTAAAAAGACAATTATGACATCTATCGTTAGACTGATTGGGTTGTTTGTTATATGTTGATCACACCACCAAATGGAGTGAATGGGATTGTGCAACTTAGTAGTGTTGGGCACAGATAATCAGCCGATGAATGATAACTGTAATTATTGGACCAAGGTGTCCAGGTTCTCTGGACAGAGCCCTCTATGTCTAGCAGCCACTAAAGTGATTTCCCAAAGCCCAGTAATGATTCTGTTTCCTATTTAAACATTTCCAGTGACTGCTGTTGCCCAAAGGACCAAACTCATGCTTGGCAGGCAGAACCATGGCTGATGTGGTTCAAACCTATTTTCAGCAGCTGCTTTGCCTGCCTGCGGGGGCCACTCCTTTCTTTCCACATATTTGTGTGCCAGGAGAATGAATTTCACCTCTTCTTGAACATATCCTGCCCACTCATGCTTCTCCAGCCTCTGCTTGTGCCCTTCTTCCTTTATTTTTCTGGAGAGCTTCTATGCATCCTTTAAAACCCGGCACATTTCTCTGATGACCAGTGATGATGAGCATTTTTTCATATGTTTGTTGGCCTCCTGTATGTCTTCTTTTGTAAAGTATCTGTTCATATCCTTCGCCCATTTTTGAATGGGCTTGTTTGTTTTTTTCTTGTAGATCTGCTTTAGTTCTTTGTAAATTCTGGATATCAGCCCCTTGTCAGATGGGTAGGCTGCAAAAATTTTTTCCCATTCTGTTGGTTGCCGATTCACTCTACTGACTGTTTCTTTTGCCATGCAGAAGCTGTGGAGTTTGATTAGGTCCCATTTGTCTATTTTGGCTTTTGTTGCCATTGCTTTTGTCATCAGAGAAATGCAAATCAAAACCACATTGAGATACCATCTCACACCAGTTAGAATGGCGATCATTAAAAAATCGGGAAACAACAGATGCTGGAGAGGATGCGGAGAAATAGGAACACTCTTACACTGTTGGTGGGAATGTAAATTAATTCAACCATTGTGGAAGACAGTGTGGCGATTCCTCAAGGACCTAAAAATAGAAATCCCATTTGACCCAGCAATCCCATTACTGGGTATATATCCAAAGGATTATAAATCATTCTACTATAAGGACACGTGCACACGAATGTTCATTGCAGCATTGTTTACAATAGCAAAGACCTGGAACCAACCCAAATGCCCAATGATGATAGACTGGATAGGGAAAATGTGGTACATATACACCATGGAATATTACGCAGCCATCAAAAACGATGAGTTCACATCCTTTGTAGGGACATGGATGAACCTGGAAACCATCATTCTCAGCAAACTGACACAAGAGCAGAAAATCAAACACCGTATATTCTCACTCATAGGCGGGTGTTGAACAATGAGAACATATGGACACAGGGAAGGGAGCACTACACACTGGGGTCTGTTGGGGGGAAATGGGGGAGGGGCGGGGGGTGGGGAGGTGGGAAGAGATAGCATGGGGAGAAATGACAGATACAGGTGAGGGGACGGAAGGCAGCAAACCACACTGCTATGTGTGTACCTATGCAACAATCTTGCATGTTCATCACATGTACCCCAAAAACCTAAAATGCAATAAAAAAAAAACCCGGCACAAATGCATCTCTGAGAAGCGTTCCCCAGTTTCCCATGCAGAGCTGTGTGTTCTCTCTTCTTGTTTATGGGTAGAGCCCTCTACCTGTTTGATAGAGTTTGATTGTAATTCCCATGTGTGGAGGAAGGGACCTGCTGGGAGGTGATTGGTTCGGGGTGGGGGGAGTTCCTCTATGCCGTTCTTATGATAGTGAGTGAGTTCTCACAAGATCTGATGGTTTAAAAGTGTGGCACTTCCTCCCACCCCCATCTCTCCTGCCACCATGTAAGATGGACTTTGCTTCCCCTTCACCTTCTGCCATGATTGTAAGTTTCCTGAGACCTCCCCAGCCAGGTGGAACTGTGAGTCAATTAAACCTGTTTCCTTTATAAATTCTCCAGTCTCAGGTCATTCTTCATAACAGTGTGAAATTGGACAAATACACTGCTCTTATAAATGCACTTACAGCAGTTTATTGATTAAAAGAGACATTATTGACCTGGGAATGAACTGCCCCAAGGAGATTCAGTGTTCTGCTTATCTTTGTATCCTCAGAGCACAGCACAGTGATTGGCAGATAGTAGAGAATTAAACAGATGAATGAATACAGACCCATTCCCATGTACTTCAAGTGATTTTTGCAAGAAAGGCAGTTAGTAGCACGATTTCTGATGTCAGCCAGCCCTGGATTCAAACGCTAATTGATATGGTTTGGCTCATTGTCCCTACCCAAATCTCATCATGAATTGTAATCAGCATGTGTTAATTGTAATCTCCAGGAGAGACCTGGTGGGAGGTGATTGGATCATAGGTTCAGTGTCCCCCATTCTGTTCTCATCATGGTGAGTGAGCTCTTATGAGATCTGATGGTTTTATAAGGGCATCTTCCCCCCTTCATTTACCACTCTCTCTCTCCTGCTGCCATGTAAGACGTGCCTCTTCCCTTTCCACCATGATTGTAAGTTTCCCTGAGGCCTCCCCAGCCCTGTGGAACTGTGAGTCATGTAAACCTCTTTTCTTTATAACTCGGGTATATCTTTATACAATGTGAAAATGGCACTTGTAAATGAATTTAGATAGGTTACTTAATGTGTCAGTTTCCTCAACTGATAATTGGGAGTAATATTAACCCCAGAGAGCTGTGGGGAGGATTAAGAATGAAATTGTGCTACTCAGTAGTGTCAGGCACAAATAATCAGCCTATAAATGTTAGCTATGATTATTGAGCCAAGGTGTCCAGGTTCTCTGGACAGATCCCTCTATGTCTAACAACATGTGGCTATGAGACTAAAGTCTTGGAAGACAGAATCTGTTGGTGTGAAGCCAGTTCACTTCAGAGGTAGACCATTGTCCTTGATCCTGTTGGCACTTTGCTCAGCCTAATTGTATTTGAAGATCGGAGGGAAGGCTCAAGTGGGTCAAATATCTAGAGAAGAAAACCCAATTAAACTAGGTAGCAGATTAGGGAATTTTATCCCTAGTTACATTTTACAAAGCAAGTGAATTGTTTCCTTATGACTAGCCTTGATTAGTGACCACTAAAAAATGTATGTTTGAATTTCACAAGTCGTATGTTTCCAAGACAAGAGCCCAAACTAATCAAGACAATCCTTGGAAAAGCACTTGATAGGGGCATACGCCACAACTTAAACAATGAGGCTTTGAAATTGAACACAATACACAGAAGGAAAATTAATAAATTGTTTAATTTTGTCTTCCCTGTACATCAGTCATTCAATCTCAATCTAGAGCATACATACCCTTGTGTGATGCATATTCTTCTAAATGTGCCATTAGAAATGCATCATTTTTTCATCAACTGCTGATATCATTTGTGTTTAGAAAGCATCCGGTTACCATGCTAAAGGAAAGTGAAGAGGCAGCCCAGATGCTTGCTAAGCCAGCGTTCAAGGTACCCTGCCCACGCATCTTGACATTGCTGCCCTTAACTTAAACAGCTTGGCCTGGCTGCGCTGCTTAGGCTGCCAAGAAAGTAATCCAGGACTCTTGAGGGTTTTTCGTGCGGGAGTGTCATTTGCAAGTTTGATTTGGAATGGGCTCTTGACAAAGGTGGTTCCATCCTGTGTTCCTGTTACCCTGGCTTGGCTCAATGCAAGAGGGCTACCAGCAGTTTCTGGAAGTCCCCGGAGGTGTCCGAGTGAACCATGTCAGAGAGAGACTTCTGATACTTCTCTTGGAACTTTGCTTTGATCCCCTGAAGGTCCACCTGTAGAAAAATAACAGCAATGGGGACAAGAACGTTTATGGTGTGTTCACAAACAGTGGATATTGTTCTATACACATTAGACTCATTTGCTCATTCATGCCTGAAAACAGCCCCTTGAGATAGTGCTATAATTATTTGCATTTTGTGATCAGGGAATGGAAGGCAGAGGTCAATTCCCCAAAGGTTGCAGAGATGTCCACGTGTGTGTGTGCATGTGTATTCCACTAAAACTTTTGAATTTCACACGGTTTCTATATGTTACAAAATATTATTTTTCTGTTGAGTTTCAACAGTTATTTGGAAACGAATCACCCCAACTAGCAAGACTGTACACAACCTGGCAGTGTGCCTGACTTGACCCCTGGTATAAAGTAAGAAAATTGTCAACACAGAGATGTGAAATTAAGCAATAAAGCGGTTTTCCACTCATACCCTAGTTGGCAAGGAAATTAGTACCAGTCAACACAATTCAAATCACTATCAACTTGCAGGATTTATTCTGAATCTAGTTCATTCAAAGCTTGAAAAACTTAGGTGCTGGAAGTGATGATAGGACTCAGGAGAGAAATGTATTCAAAGATTGCTCCGCCAAAAGACTCTTACAGCCTAGCAAAGGAGATGAGGCTTGTACCAGAAAAGATGTAATTCCAGGTAGAACATAATGGGATTCATAAAAGCAGCAGAGAACTCTTTTTAAACAGTAGTCTTCCTGCCTTTTCTTTTCTCTTCTCTTGTCTTTTCTCTTTTTCTTTTCTTTTCTTCTTTTCTGGCTTAGACCCTACCTTCTACTCCAGACCCAAAGAGCGTGGCTCAGGGATCTGATTCTTTCTTCTTCTGCTTCAGTTACAGGGCTGAGCTGACAGAGTGAGAGAAATGATCAGGACAGGAGAATGTACGGGAGTGAGGGAGGGTTTGCAGTGGATGCTGAGCAGGCAGCAGAGACTGCAGGAGGCAGGTGGTGTCTGTCTCTCCCCCAGCCTGTGTGTCCCCCTGCCCCACTGCTTGGCTCCTTGTCTCGTGCTGGGGGAGGGGCAGAAGGCAGGGGGTGGGTGGGGATGCGGTACACCAGGTCTCTGTTCTAGTGCCATGTGGCTTTAGATTAGGAAATCTGGCCAAACTACTCTATCTAGCTGGACCCGAAGCCTTCTGAGGGAACTGCCAACATGTTAGATGGCCTAGGACATGTGGTTAATTCTGAGCTGGGACGGAGGTTCTTGGAATAAAACACTCCGTGGTCGGAGTGATCATGAAACCCTCACAAGCCCTTTGGATGGATGCAATCTCTCTGGGAGTCTTTTGCAATCCTGGGTTTTCATTGTGTTCAACCTGCCCCTTTTGAGACCTTCAAAATCCCTCATCTCTCAGTGACTTTGGCTGGAGGTTGAGTTCCTAAGAAACAGAGGGACAGACAAGACAGAAGACCTGAAGGGAAAGGGAGGGAGAGGGGTTTGCAGTAATGGGAGAGAGAGGCAGAGGCATGGCAGGAGCAGAGCAGAGAGACCAGCAAAGGGGAAGGGGGTAGAGAGAGAGATGTGGCCTTCAATAGAAAAAGACAAGTCCTGGAGGAGGAGAAGGGAGGAAGGAGAAATTCCAGGAATAGAAGTAAAAATGCAAGAACCGTCTTGTTGCAAAGTTATATTTAAAAACAGTGTCAGATGTTAAGTATTACTTGTTAAGAAGCCATGGCTGAGAATTTGCCTTGGTCTCCCTCCCCCTTCACCTCCTCCTTCATTTAACAACATTTTTTTTTTTTGAGGGAAGATGTCTGTGGTTTTCAAGTGCTTACTTCCACTTCATTCCTTAAGGCTTCTCCTGCTGCTGATGAAATGCTGCTTCCCTTTATTTTGTACCTCCTCTGTCTGTGGCCCCATATCCCAAAGTGACTTTTTTTTTTTTTGAGACCAAGTCTTGCTCTGTTACCCAGACTGGAGTGCAGTGGCGCCGTCTCAGCTCACTGCAACCTCTGCCTTCTGGGTTCAAACAATTCTCATGCCTCAGCCTCCTGAGTAGCTGGGGCTACAGATGAGTGCCATCATGCCAAGCTAATTTTTGTAATTTTAGTAGCAACGGGGTTTCCCCCTGTTGGCCAGGCTGGTCTTGAACTCCTGACCTCAGGTGATCCACCCACCTTGGCCTCTCAAAGTGCTGGGATTACAGGAGTGAGCCACTGCACCCGGCCAGCTGTGATCCTGATGGCTGCTCCCAAGCTGTTGGCTCCTCCTCTCCTTTCTCTTTCTTATACACACACATTCTCCGAGGGCAAACACAAATTGGTTCTTAGGGGGTGAAAAAACCCTTAATATTTTTATGTATAAAGCACTGATATCCATATGGTATATAAACAGATTTATAGTCTTATCTCTGGCGTTAAAATTTCTTGGGTGGAAGGGATGGTAATGAGGAAACACATGTGTCTAAAAAGGCTCCTGAGAGGAGCAACAGTTTTTAAAAAGAGAGAACCATTGCTTTATGCTGATGTGTTTGCTGCTGCAGTGTGACCGTTAAGGAAAGGCCTAGCTCAGGAACTTGGAAATCTTTCTCTTATTGTTCCTGCTGCTGGCTGATCTCTTTCAAGTGTCTTTGTTTTGTCTTCCTTAACGTGGAGCAGTGTGTAGCTGCAGCCCCACAGAAATGCTCTACAAGGTCGCCTCTGCTTCCCTCCATGAGCTCTCCGGGGCCACAGAGGAAAAAAAAGAAGCAACGATCATTACTGTATTTTTATAAAAAGAAACAGATTGAAGTGGAGCACAACGTCTTCTACAAATTCTGGGAAAGCAAGGGCTGTCTCTGTTTTACTTTTTCTGTAAATAAGCCCTTAATAGAAACTATTTGTTGATGACATCAGCGGTGGAAAAAACAGAAGTTGCAGCAGCCTCTTTGGAGTGGGAGTGTGTCTTACCTCGGCCCTGGTCACGATTATACGAATCAATGTCTCCTCATCTGTCCCCACACCCTTCATCGACTTGTATAGACGTTCAGCAAAATAGCCCTCGCAGTCCCGGGCACATCTCACTAAACGGGATAAAGGAGAAGAGAAGGTGAGGCTTTCAAGTTTTGTGGAATGACATGGGGAACCTCCCCGCCGAATGTCACCTGGCTCCCCTTCAAGCTGACTGAATGGTGAGGCAGATTTGAAAGGCACTGACTTGACGTTGTTGTGAAATGAGGTTCGGAAGATTCCCTGGTCAGAGCCCCTGGAATCTTCAAGCAGAGCTCCTCCCCTGTGCCCCGAAGACCCTCCAGAGGAGAGCTGTGGCATCCTTGGGCCTTCCGAGCCACATCCATGATTCTCGTTATTTCCCAGCAGAAATAACTTTCCCTATCTACGTGAAATCTCTGGTGCTGTTGTAGGGTTCTGAAGGGAAACAGATTGGCCAGCAACCGTCTGGAATAAAACATCATCTTGACCGTGTGTCCAGCTGGACAGCCGCCTGCTCTCCTGCTCAACAGCCTCCCCACCCTTTGTTTTTCCTCACTGGGTTTTTTTTTTTAGTGAGCCTCATCTCTGAACCTTTTCCAGGTTCCCCACGATCTTTTGGTTTGCAGTCCGGGATGTGGACTTGATGAAATGTTTGATCCTTTTTAAAGATCACTTTCCTACGATGCTGCTATTTGCTCTTTCCTGGCCTCCCCTTGCCTTCCAGCTTTGATCTATCCACAGCTTAATGAAGTGTGGTCTGTATTTATCAAGCAGGTGATCGGGTGCCTTTCTTTTCCTGGGAATAAATCATTCCTTTCCCTCCTCCCAGGCTCATATGGATCCATCTTGACTAACAGGTTAGAGAAAAAAAGATTTGCTCTTTAGGCTGTTAACATTTCTCTAGAACACTTGATGATGTTAGTGATGAACAGTAAGTGATTATTTCAGCATAAATGTGGAATGTGCAACCCGACTATGTCCCATAATGGGGCTGCTGTTGTCTAGGGGACCGCCTGTGTGACTGACACTTATAAGCAGGGGAGAGGACAGGTGAGGGAAGCAGAGTCTAGGTTGGGGGCCAGTCTCCTGCTCCAGGCCATGTGGCAGCTGCCACAGTTACAATGGGAAAGAAAATCGCACTGGAAAAGAAAAGATGTCTGGCCTCTTTCTGCTGAGGACAACCCAGAAGCAGCTGGATTGGTGGTTCAGGGGGAACTTGTTTGCTACTTTTGGGGAGTGGCATATTGAGACTCACTGTGGTCCGCAGACAATCTGAGCTAATGAGCGCCACAAAGTTTTCCCAAAAATCTTCTTCCATGTAGCACAACTTAATGTGGGGATCACTGTCTGCCTAAAGTCACTGTGTTCTGCTCCTGCATAGGGTTCTTCTTCTTTAACATTTTTTCTACCTGATATTTTGGGAAGAAAACTCTCAACATTTCTCCTGTCTGGAATCTATGCATGGGAACAACCTCTGTTGTTAGCAGCAGCAGGAATCCCTCAAAAGGCTGGGCAGGGATAGCCAGAGAAGATGTGGAATAAAACACCTTCTGGGCGCAGTGGCTCACACCTGTAATCCCAGCACTTTGGGAGGTGGAGGTGGGTGGATCAAGAGGTTGGGAAATTGGGACCATCCTGGCAAACACGGTGAAACCCCGTCTATACTAAAAATACAAAAAATTAGCGGGGCATGGTGGTGCGTGCCTATAGTCCCAGCTACTTGGGAGGCTGAGGCAGGAGAATGGCTTGAACCCAGGAGGCAGAGGTTATGGTGAGCCAAGATTGTGCCACTGCACTCCAGCCTGGTGTCAGAGTGAGACTCTCTCTTAAAAAAAAAATGTGGCTTCCTGGGCTCCCTTCCTGGAGGTTCTCAAAGGGAACTTGGAGTGGGGCCCAGGAACCTGCATTGTAACAGGTGATTCTGAGGCAGGGGGTCCCTGGACCTCACTTTGAGAAATGCTGCTCCAGACGCTGCATGTGGTGTGAGTCATTTGGCCTCAGCCCCCTGCTCCTAGATGTTAGTCATAAACTGGCATAGCTATAAGTTAGCTGGGAGAGGGGTGGGAGGTGTCTAGAAAGTAGTCATGAAGCCGTATTCTGTTGTGTGGCTAATTCTCAAGGTCTTTTCTAATCACTTTGGCTTTCACTAGCACTGGGGCACAACCCACTCTGAGAGTGTGTGGTCCCCAAACCCAGGGACTTGGCTTTTCCTTCATCCGTACCCACTTTGCCCTTCATTTTTTTATCTTTAACTTTAGCCTAATCTGTTGATTTTTTGAACCCACCAGATTATAATTCACCATAAGCTTTAAGCTCCCTGAAGAGCAAGAACTGGTCTTATATACCTCTTATCCCCACACCCAGTGCAAACTCTGGGCCCAGGCAGGTGTTGGGTAAATGTTAAATCGCTGAGTAGTTGTAATACCATCTCCTGACTGTACTCTGGTGTTTTTCTGATTCTCCGCACTGCAAGTACAGCATAGCAAGGACGTAGAGCCTTAGAACCAGGCCATGAGGAGATCCTATTATCTACCTGAGACTCTTCTTAATTATGTCTAGTGTTCCATTATTGGAATGATAAGCATGTGGGGGTTATTTATATCCTACTGCTCAAGGTCATCACCAGGGTCTAATTTTTCACATATGTCTGCAGTTCAAAAAATTGGCATCAATGGGTTAAGGCCTTAAGTACAGTTACTTGAACCAGGGCTCCTATATATACCCAGTGTGGGTCGTGAGCAACACCAGGGATTTTTAGGCCTCGGGATATCACAGCAGAGGTCTTGTTTATTGAATGCAAAATGAGGATGGATTAAAAAAAATCAATTGCTGACATTGTTCAAAAAAAAAAAAAAAAAAAAAAAACCCAAAGAAACCAAACAAAAGAGTTTGGCAACTGGAGCACATTTTTTAACTTCCAGGGCCGCTTATTCGGTCCTTCCTCTTCTGAGGACAGGTCTCTCCATTGCTTCTGCCATTTGGGATGCTGCCCTGGATTCCTCAGCACAGGAGCATGGACAATGGACAATGCCTTCATTCCAGGGCTTGCAGAAAGCAAAAAAGGAGCCTGCCAGACATAGCTCCATGCCCATCTCTCTGCTATTTCCTGCCTTTGGGCAACACCTGGAGAGGAGGTCCTGGGGTTTGGTTGGCACAATCAAGATCTGATCTCCATCCCATCTCTTTCCAAACAGAATTCATTCTTTGAAAACATTGAAAGGAACCCAATGGAAAAGGAAACCTATGAGCCTTCGGGCTGCCTGAAACTGGATAATGGTCCCAGGTTGTTGACAGGTTCCCTCAGGGACCCATGGTCTTAGTGGGTGATATGGTGTGGCTGCGTCCCCACCCAAATCTCATCTTAAATTATAGCTCCCACAATTCTCACATTTTGTGGAAGGGATCCAGTGGGAGATAATTCAGTCATGGGGGTGATTTCCCCTCATACCGTTCTCGTGGTAGTGAGTAAGTCTCACGAGATCTGATTATTTTATAAGGGGTTTCCCCTTTCGCTTTGGTCTTATTCTGCCTTGTCTGCCATCATGTAAGATGTGCCTTCTGTCTTCTGCCACGATTGTGAGGTCTCCCTAGTCACATGGAACTGTGAGTCCATTAAACCTCTTTTTCTTTATAAATTACCCCATCTTGGGTATGTCTTTATCAGCAGCATGAAAACGGACTAATACAGCGGGACTGCAATGGATGCTGTGGTGTGCCGCTCAGATGCCCTGTTCAGGATTGAGGTAGTCATTCACAGCTGAGTCTCTCCCCAGGAATCTCCCTCCAAGGGAGAAGCTGGCTTGCCCAAAGTTGCACATGTTCCCCTGGTACAGCCAGTGTCCCATGACTGGTTGATGTGGGATGCAAAAGCCTGGGCCCCTTGCTCCACTTTGGACATCCCAGCGTCAGAGCTTCCCGTGGGACCAGCAAAGCCCCTGTTGCAACTACGTCACAGTCACTCTCCCTCTTGCTCAGTGCTGCTTAGATGTGTTGACACCCAAAACCTATTGCCTCAAATCTTCTGACACACAAACCTCTGTCTGCATCTGGTTCCAGGCAGCCCAACCTCAGACAAGAATTCTCCTAACTTTACTTTACCAAGAGTCAAATAGGCCTTCTGCAAATCTCCTGATGTTTCTTCTTCAATGGCTTCTTCTATGTCTTTGCCAATGAGCTGCAGAGAAAGCCAAAATCAGCTGTTATTCCAGGTTTGCCTTTGACCTTGGTACTCTTGGGGTTGCTCCTCTATAAAAAGCACTAAATGTTTCCAGATTTAGTCCTGTGGCTTCAGGGAACTCCTATCGCGTCTCTTGCCTTGTAGGATTGGGGTGTTTGCCACCCATTAGAGAGTGGGCTCTCATTGCTGAGGATTCAGTCTGGATATGATTCCTAATGGACTTGACTCTAGTCAGTGCCACTCCCTCAACCTCAATTTCCTCATCTGTAAAATCGGAGAGTGGAGAGACAATTAATATGTCATAATCATAGACATTTTTTACACTGATGTGTGGGTTAGTTCCAATGTCTTCTTCACCCTTTCCAGTTTCAGTTTCCCTGGAGGCTGTGGTTATGATCATCTGACCTGCACCTCCAACCTCTCCCTTACTTCGGAACCAGGGACTTAGCCCCAGTTTGGGTGAAATAAGTAGGGAGGATGAAGTTCATGATAACAACTTGATCTAAAGTTCCCGATAGGGTGGGTCTGCAAGGGCTGGAAGCTGGGGTGGGGGTGGGGGTTGCTGACCACATCAAAATGCCACTTGTCTTCACTCTGGGGTAATTCTAAATGATGCTATATTCACCACTGGCTCACATATCGTTCTACACAGCATTACACATTAGGTTTCTTTCTAAATATTTACAGAAGCTGAAGCTCAGAGTAAATTGTGACTATCCTTAATACAAATACGGCCTGGGCCAAGCTCAGGGCAGGCACATAAAGAGAAAGGAGAATGCTTTGCTGGGTTTGGGGAAATGCAATTAAGCACCAGAAATACTGAAACTTCTTTCTCAGAAAATATCTTTTGAGCATATGACACAATCGATTCTATAAATAATTGGGGTCTTTGAGTATGCACCAGTGGAGTTTATGTGGTTTATTTTGAAAATACAGGTAAACAAAATGTTCTTTGTGATGTAAGCACAATATATGTGTGGGGGGAGGACCCGTGTCCAGATTTAATGAAGCCCTGCTGCTCGATCTCCTAGTCATTGTTTGCATATCTGGAGGCCTTGGTGTGTGGCAATAGAAACAAGATTAGAAGATTGGGGGAACTGTCCCTTACTTAGCTGCCCCTAGTCTTTCTTGGTTTTGATGTGGGAGTCATTATTTTGGGAGGGACGGGTATCCCTTTCCCAGAAACAAGGTTCTTGTTCTGTAGACTGAGATCATACTGCAAGAGAACATTTTGTTCACACAGGTCTTGTTTACTTTAAAAAAATCCTCACATTAAACCATTTTCCATTTCTATTGTTAATACCAGGCTAGAACAGGGATTTTAAATTTTCTGTAGAATCTCAGCCGACAAAACAAATGAAAGCAGAAAGCACAGCTGTGGTGGGAGGCAGGAGGTGGGCTCGTTTCCCTAGCCTTTGGTATCAATACCATGTTTTTGCCCTCACAGGTTTTTTTCCTTGCACAACTCCAGGAGGCGCTATTCATATACTCCAACAAGAAGGTACATGTCTGTCTGCTTCCTGTACCACCTCATTCCTGGTAGCTGCTGAGGCACCTCCACGGGACGCAATCTGAAACAATGGTCTGGCCCAAGCTCTTGGGACTGTACTTTGCATACTTCTTACTTTAGTGTCTAGAACATGATTCTTAGGGGCTCTTTGTATAGGAGCAGATTTTCTGATCTCAGTAGCAAAACACATTATGAGATTAGATTCCAAACAAGTCTCTAAGACTCTATTTAGACAGGTAGCAATGCCTGTCGGGAGGTTATTAGAAGAGCAGGAGAGACATTTCTTTCCTTAAAATTGGTTGCCCCAAATGGACGGCACCTGACGACAGAATCCTATGCACTCTGGCTTTGACTATAGCAGTTAGAGGCTGAAGCCTCTGGCATGGGCTGAGGAACATGTACAGGGGAGGAGCAAGGGGCGAGGCACGTGGTGGGGAGGCAGCAAAGTGGGCTACGAGTGTGCGTACCTACCGTTTATACTGAGCCCTGTTCGGGGACTTGACTTTGGCTTTATAACTGTATGAGTCTTTCATATTTGGTAACACTGGGGACTGTAATAATCTTGCATGATGCAGCAGTTTGGGAAACTCCGTTGTTTGGCCTGGGATGGCTGGGAGTGTCAGAAGTTAAGACTCAGGCTTAGAGCAAAATAAATGGCAAAACCCTGAGTTTTTGTGCCAAAAATTAAAATTCAACTCTAAGCCAGGACCACTCAGGCCACATAAGAAACTCCAGATGCTGATCTCAGACTAGCATCTCTGTGCTTTTGATCAGAAGCCATCAGAAAACTCATAGAACCAGGGTCTAAGAGCAGACTGAACTCTAAAAACATCAGCAATAAATACCAAGATGAATGATGCTTGAGCAAGGCTTTTGAAATGGATGAATAGATAGCATTTTAGAGCTAGTTTCATGTAATGAATCATGAAATCCACAGATTACCTTATTTTACTTTTAAGCTTCTGCTCTGATTTATGACATTGTTTGTTCATCCAGGGAGACTCCTGACAATTGCTAATGTTTATTGAATGCCTGTTGCCTGCCAGGTACTAAGTGCTTATTTCTGTTAATTCATTTAATCCTTATTAACCCTATGAAGTAGGTACTATTATCCCTTTTTTCCAGTTTGGGTAACTGAGGCACAGAACCCTTAATAACTTGCACAAGAACCATACAGCTATAGCCTAAAGTGGATTTCTTAAATTGTAATATACATTAGAATCACCTGGAGCACCTGCTCTAACACAGATAGTAAGACCCCAGCCCCATGGAATCTGATTCAACAGATCTGATGGGGACAGAAAATTCTCATAACAAATTTTCAAGTGATGCTGATGCTGCTGTTTCAGGATCAACTTGGAGATACTAGCCTGGAGAGTGTACTTTCAGGTGGTCAGTTCATACACACACACATGCATGTACCCAGAAACTTCATCTGTGGTCTCCATAGTGTGGAAAGAGGATCTCAGTCATAGAGAAGTCCTCCAGCTCAGAGGCTACACAGCTCCAGGAACAAGAGACCAGGGGAGTGCAGGTCAGCTGTCTTTGATCATGACTCTGGGCATGATTTGAAAGCAGTGGGCCCTAAAGGCTTATATACAGTCATGATAAAATTTCAGAGCTTTATTGTCTTTTTATCTGCTGGCAACATGTAGGAAATGCAACTTGGAGTGAGGAGCGGCCAGCTTTAGCTGAGGTAGGAGCTCAGGCCGGAGATTCTTGGAGTTCTCATCCACTCTCTGCTACCGACTTGCTGTGTGGTCCTGAGAAGTTCCAGATGGTTCCTCACTCAGCAGACTTTCCTTGTCCAGCAGTTGTGGGTCACAATAGCTATTCAGCCTATGTTGTAGTTATGGTGTTGTTGTGAAATTGAATGAAGCACATGACACAGAAGTGCTTTGAATAGGTAAAAGCACTACACATATAAAATAGGATGTCAAAAAAAAAAATCTGATATTCCACTCCAGGCTTTCTGCAATTAAAGACTGCTTTTCAGGGAAGGACTTAACTGCTAAGCGCCTTGAAATAACTAACTCACCTTGTGGGCTGAAATTTATCCTGGGATTAAAAAATAATTTATGTGCATCTTTTCAGGAGCCTGTCTTTGAGATACATCATATCTGTCTTGACTAAGGTAGGCACCGCAGCCAACTGTAAACTGGAGTAATAATAGCAAATATTTGTATGCTTGCTGTATGCCAACTACTGTTCTGAGTCTTTTTTTTTTTTTTCTTTAAGATGGAGTCTTGCTCTGTTGCCCAGGCTGGAGTGTGGTGGTGCCATCTCAGCTCACTGTAAACTCCCCCTCCTGGGTTCAAACAATTATCTGCTTCAGCCTCCCGAGTAGCTGGGATTACAGGTGCCCACCACCACAGCTGGTTAATTTTTATATTTTTAGTAGAAATGGGGCCAAGCTGGTCTTGAACTCCTGACCTCATGATCCCCCCTCCTTGGCCTCCCAAAGTGCTGGGATTACAGGTATGAGCCCCCACTCCTGGCTTGTTCTGAGTCTTCATCTTATTTAACCTTAAAATCAGTCTGAGGGTGTGAAGATGATGTTCATGGTCTCTGTTTTACAAAAGAGGATGGAGAGATTTGGTCACTTGCCAGTGGCAGACCCAGGATTTGCACCTGGGCTCTTGGACTCTAGAGCTTTGTCCCTGGATGGGACACTTGCTTCCCTGGCCTCTGTTGTGAAGCCAGTGTCCGGCCTGGGTACTGCATCTGGGTCTAGATGATTCTTTGGGGATTCTTTGTCCTGTGCACTGTAGGCTGTTCAGCAGCATCCCAGGCCTCTGTTCACTAGATGTCAGGGCCACCACCCCCAGCTGTGACAACTTCAAATCATCTTAGATATTATCAAATATTCCCGGGGTAGGAAAATCACCCCCAATTGAGAACCACTGTTGTAAAGGAACCCCAATTCTTTATTGCAGATCTTGGCTTCTTTGGGAAATAAGTTAAGGCACTTTCAGAGTGAACTCTTTGGCCCCAATACTTTATTACTTACAATCTGGTAGGCTTGAAAGGTGGCTCGTAACTGCTTGTAGCTCCTCTTGGCCAGGACTTCATTGAAGGCAAGCTCATCCGTGCCCCAGCGGCCTTCCCCTGCCTCAAGAGTCAAATTACAAACATTTTGAAAAAGGCTTTTGTGAAAAGACTGATTATACAGTGCTGTGACTAGGCCTCGCTTACAGGAAATTATAAACCAAGCACTGAATAGAAGTCAAACGGACTAAGCACTTTCAGCTTCTAACCTACAAATATGTTTCGCATACTTATTTATATTGTTTATACCATTCTTTGCTCCAAAACGGATCTGACGTGGTCAACCCCAGAGTATAAGAATAGGAACCATTCATTTAGATTCGTGGAGACTCTATATGTGTTCTATAAAGATCTAAGCATATCTTTGTTTCTTAAAGGTCATACTTATTTCCCAAGTAACTCCTCTTTGAATGAAATAAACATTTGTTAAAAATAATGCTAATAAATTTAAAAAAAGAGTTTTCAGAGACGGGCATGTCTGCGTACATACATCGTACAGATCTTTGGCATCCTGGCCAGCTAGATCTTTGTCCACGTCACCTCCTTCATTGCGATTAGCCTAGAAAAATCGACACATTGTTATTAACTTGCATTCCTGCTTGACCACGGAAAACAGAAAGACAAAGTCCTGGAGAAAGAGGTGAGTTCTTTCTCAGCTCAGCTCAGCTCAGTTCAGCCTGGCAAGGAGGCGACACCTGCTCTTTGCTGCCATCTTTTGGGCTCAAGGGATAAACAGAGTAGCTTCTGTGGCAACACTTGGTTTTTCGCCTTTTATTTTGGAGAAACCTGTCCACTCACAAACCCCACTGACCTCTGAGCAGAGTGAGTGCGATCTCTGAGTTCCCTAGAGTGAGTCCGTCGGAAAGCAAGTCATCTTTGTTTCAAAACATCAGATTTCACCACTCAAGGTCCCCGTGCTAAAGAACCCTGAGAGTTGGTCATGGAAGTCTAACTTGAGCTCTCTGCGGTGGGCAGAATTCTAAGATGACCCAATGGCCCACATTCTTGCATAATCCCCTTCCCCTGAGTGTGGGTGAGAGCTATGAAGGTGAGGAGATGTCACTGCTGTGATTGTGTTATGTTCAATGGCAAAGGGGAATTTTGCAGATATAATTCAGGTCTCAAATCAGTTGAGTTTATCAAACAAGAGATTATCCTTGGTTGCCCTGACCCAATCGAGTGAGCTCTTCTTAAAAGGTCAGAGATGGAAGAAGTCAAAAACGAGCTGCTGCTGGAGTGGAAGAAACCAAACAGCCATGTGGTGCTCTGCCTTGGGGGACCATGTGGCAGGAAGCTGCCAGCAGTCTCTAGGACATGATAGTAGCTTCTGGTCAACAGGAAGAAAATGGGGACATCAGGAACACAGCCGTAAGAAAATGAATTCTGCCCACAACTAATGAGCCTGGAGGAAGACTCCGAGCCTCAGATGAGATGGCAGCCCTGGCCAACACCTCGATTTCAGCCTGTTGAGACCCTGACCAAATGACTCAGTGAAACCAAGATATTACTCAGCTGGATCTCCAAGATATTACTTTGACTCCTGACCCATGGAAACTGTGAGATGATAGATCTAAATCGTTTTGAGGTGCTAAGTTTGTGGCAGTTGGTTATGCAGCAAGAGAAAACTTAAACACCTTTCCTGTTACAGCGGAAGTCTCTCTCTTTTGTTCTCTGCTGTCCATCTATCCCACTGGGAGAAACAAAACAGAGAAAACGCACAGAGCTCATAAAGATGTGTGTGTCCATGAGAATACAGATGTGTCTGTCTGGAGGTCCTGGTGGGGGTGCGTGTGTCCCAGCAGGGCCTGATTTCCTGGCTGAGTTTCTTGCAGGCCTAGGCTGCAGTGAATCCTGGGAGTAACTGCAGAGCTGTGTTGTGGGAGCGGCCCCGCTTGGGGTCAGATGGTCTGGTTCTTGCTTTGGGTTGTGTCTTACTGGCTGCATGAACCAGGGCAGGTTACCCACTCTCTCATGGCCAACATTTCCTCCTAGGCAAAATGAGAAAGTGATGCTTAATGAGCTGATTTGTTTACAAAAAGGAATTGTAAACTGCAAAAAATTGGGCAGATTGTTTTTATGGAAGAAATCCCATTTGGATATAATTTCACCAGAGCTGGGCCAATGGAGCATGGGTTGATGATCCTTAGATAACATTTTTAATGAAAGAAAGAAATGTTTATCTACCTTACCCTTTTCATCATGGTGCCACGTTGCCAAGGATTCTTTCCTAAGATGATAAAACAGGTGATATCTCTTTACTCTTACCTGTAGCAGGGACACCAGGATTTGTTTTAGGTTTCCACTTGTATCACCTTTGACATCTGATTCGAGGCTCCTGTCAAATACTTTGAAGGAAGCAAAAAAGGAGGGAAGAAAGCAGACGATTTAGTTTCCCAGAGGTATTTTGAAAGAAACATACTTTATCCAAAGCCAGGATGAAAGGTCACTTACGCCTTTGGTAGGCCTCTTTTATGGCGATGATTTCCTAGGGAAGGTAATTAAAAAAAAAATCAATACTCCAAGGAGGGATTAATCAATAAGAGACACCAAAACATACAGAGAGAAGAGGTGGGAGACTGTCTGGACACAGGGTGCCTTCATGACTTCCTCTTAAGACAATCATTCCTATGGGTCCAGGGCGCAGGCCTGGAGTGAGTCCCTGGGGTTGTGAAGGGCCCCTCTCTCTGCAAATATCTCAAACACACAAGTAACACATGCATACATTCTCCTTTGTTAAAAGTGAAATGTTTACAACTAGGCTAACCAACACCTGCTTTCACCACCTCCTCGCCTGGTCTCCCTCTCTCATCCCCATCCAGGTAACCCATGTTAGAAGTTCAGTGTGTATCAGAAAGATACACAGATTTTTTTGCATTTGTATACATATATATGTGCTATTAAAAACAGAATTGTATAGGTGTCGAGTGTTTAGCAGGTGGAATACTGTACCTATCATTCTTTGACTTAATTTTTCTCTCAATTATAACATCCTGGAGATCCAGCTGTGCTTGGACATGGATAGTCACCTAGAGTTTTTTTAAAGGGACACAAAATGTTCCATACTACAATAAGCTATGGTTTGCTTAGCCAGCCTCCTGTGGATGGAGGCTTAGGTCGTTTCCAAGTTTTCCAGTTTGCACTTGACTCAGCAGCATGTAAGAGCAGACTTCCTGCTGTCCCCCACCCCCCTGTCCCCACAAGCTGGTTAAAATGAAAGGGGTGGGGAACTGAGCCTTGCTGCTGCGCTCCTGGGTGGAGGGAGGGGCAGGCCAGATCCCCAGGAGGATCTGGCTTGTGCCTGTGCAGCTCCCTCCCCTTTCTCCTTCCAACCCATGACCAGGATCTGCCTGAACCTGGCACCTGCTCTCTGCGGGTTTTTCTTCTCATCCCATCAGATCTATTTGATTGAAAGATTGAAGTTCTTTAAGGTCCTGACTGGCTGAAGTCAGGACCTTAAAGAACTTGGATGAGGGAGAAAAAGCTATGGTCAAATAAGAAAAATATGCATGGGTATATTTTTTGAGATGGAGTCTCTCTCTGTTGCCCAGGCTGGAGTGTAGTGGTGTGACCTTGGCTCACTGCAACCTCTGCCTCCCAGGTTCAAGTGGTTCTCCTGCCTCAGCCTCCCAAGTAGCTGGGATTTCAGGTGCATGCCACTGCACCTGGCTAATTTTTGTATTTTTAGTAGAGACGAGGTTTCATCATGTTGGCCAGGCTGGTCTGAAACTCTGCCTGACCTCAAGTGATCTGCCTGCCTCGGCCTCCCAAACTGTTGAGATTATAGTGTGAGCCACTGCACCTGGCCTGAAAAATATTATTGAAATTAACCTTTACACAAAGGCGGGTGCTGACCACCCTGGCGTTGGCTGCCTCCCTGCTGGGACCTTGGTGCTTCAGTGGAGGATGGGTGCTGAGTGGGGGAAGCTGGTGTCACCTGACCTCGACTCACACGCCGGGGGGCCTGTGTTAACCCTCCTCCAAAGCACCATCCCAACCTGAGACTCCTTGAAATGGAGGATTTTTTATTATCTTGTGGGGAGAAAAGAAGTCCAGGGATGCCTGGAAAAGGTTTGCAGCTGTAGCCTGGACCCGAGTCACCCTTCGGGAAGCAGCTGAGCAGCGTGAGCAGGGCCAAGTGTCCAGGCCTTCTCCAGCCATTTTTGCATCAGGGCGCTATTTCCATTTAGCCTTCTGTCTGCTCCAACCTCTACTTCTACTTCCTGCTGAGAGGCCTCAAGTATGTTAGGCTCTTCTGGCATTTTCCTTGCTGGGCTGCCCCATTCCGCTGTCACGGGTGGGAGCTGAAGAAGGAGGGGTCTCTCCTGTGAATTATTCGTGGACCTTCTTGACCCTTGATGAATCCCTTGGTTCTCCTGGCTTCTGGATCCAGAGACAAATAGGCCTCCACTGGGGCCTCAACAGATGCTCTCTTCAGCCCCCGAAAGGGCGGCATATGCTCGAGGGACATGACTTTGTCTGATGACAGAAGGACACAACCCTTCAGGGTAGTACTAGAAGCCACTGGGGTATTCACTGGCATCCCCCAGCGCCATTCAGCTCTCTTCCTCATCACAGTCTTTTTTGTACCCTACACTAGGTGCCAGGTGACAGCCGTGGCCCAGGCAGCGACACAGACATGCTTGGGCTGCTTGTTGATTTTTCATGCCGTAAGAGCCACAAAGTCAGGCTGGGTAGGGGAAAGTAGAATTGTGCCTCCTGCATATAAAAGCATCAGTTTAGAAAAGCAGAAGCTCACTGGACACAGCTCTTCTGGAAAGATCTATTCTATCAAGGGGCAGCAACCCCAAGACTGACCTCTGGAGGACTGGAAGAGATGTCCTCCCACATGGACCAAGCACACACATTTCTGCCCAGACACCTGCTCACTCCATGGATAGAACGCTGGGAAGTAGGGTCCCTTCTGGGGGCTGCATCCATCTCTACTGGGTATGTGATGCTCCCTTGCGAGCTCAGCTGGGACTGACCTTATTGGTCCTCGTGCACAGGACCTCAATGAGCACAGACTCATCTGTGCCCAGACCTTTCATAGCCTTCTGCAGCTGCCGGGCGGCATACTCGCTGGGGAGGTCCAGAAGGGCCAAGGCTGTCTTCTCGAAGTTTCCACTCAGCTCACTCTTGAGTACCTCCTCCAGGTCCTGCAGAAAGACAGTGAGAGACCTGCTGGGAACAGCCCAGGAGGAGAGGGGCAGGTATCTGCTTGCACTATTGCAAGTGCTTATGGTTGACAAGAAAGATGCTGTGGACATGTGGGGAGTGATCCGGCACATGCCACCTGCTCTCAGCTGCCCGTCCACCTTCCCCCTGGGGCTGTGGCAGAGAGGTGGAGAGGAGCTCACTGCTCAGGAGACCTCACAGATGAATCACAGTAACAACAGTATCTGTGGAACATTTCAGAGCTCAGAGAGCTTTTTCAGCCAATCCCCAAGAGTGCTGAAAAGCCCTCAAGATCTGTTGAACCTCAGAAGATGAAGAATTTTCCCCAAGTATTCAACTAGGAAGGACAGAAATACAGGGCTGCTATCTCTAGAAGGACCAGAGAATTTGTCATCCAAATTGGGATGCTTTTCAGTGTGAAAGGGGCACTATTAGCAATTGCAGAGGACAACAGGAATAAAGAAGATTGTCGTGGAAAAACCGACAGCCCGTACCGTCACTCCAGTTATCTCGCTAAATCCTGGAAGAGACACAAGCGAGGAAGAATGCAGGTATGCAGAAGGGGAAGTGCATGGAATTCTTACTGGCATCTGCTTATTCTTTATTTGAGACATGGTCTCACTGTGTCACCCAGGCTGGAGTGCATGGTGCAATCATGGCTCACCGCAGCCTCTACCTCCTGGGCTCAGATAATCCTCCCATCTCAGCCTCTCAAGTAGCTGAGACTACAGGTGCACACTACCGTGCTCAGCTAATTTTTAAATTTTTTGTGTGTAGAGACGGGGTTTTGCCATATTGCCCAGGCTAATCTCAAACTGCTAGGCTCAAGTGATTCTCTCACTTCAGCCTCCCAAAGTGCTGGGATTATAGGCATGAGCCACCACGACCCCCAGCCTGGCGTCTATTCTGACAAGTGAGCTAACTCCCTTCTCCCTATCTCCCTCTGACAACGTGGTTTAACAGGGGAAATGGGCTGGGTGTGGTGGCTCGTGCCTGTAATCCCAGCACTCTGGGAGGCTGAGGCGGGGGGATCATGAGTTCAAGAGATAGAGACCATCCTGCCAATATGGTGAAACCCTGTCTCTACTAAAAATACAAAAATTAGGTGGGCATGGTGGTGCACCCCTGTAGTCCCAGCTACTTGGGAGGCTGAGGCAGGAGAATCATTTGAACCTGGGAGGCGGAGGTTGCAGTGAGCTGAGATCATGCCACTGCACTCCAGCCTGGCGACAGAGCAAGACTCCATCTTGGAAAAAACAAAAACAAAAACAAAATCAGGGGAAATGGTCAAGAATGGGCATCAGCCTACCTAGAGTGGTTAATGCCCCAACTTAAACCAAAAGCCTTCACGTAGAGGGACAGCCCAGGGTGGCTCAGATTGGAGGCCCACAGACCAGCTGGCATTTCAAGGACACAGACTATACCCAGGAGGCAGAGGTTGCAGTGAGCCAAAATCGCGCCACTGCACTCCAGCCTGGGTGAAAGAGCGAGGCACTGTCTGAAACAAAAAATCAGCTTCATCCATTTAATTAAATGTAATTGAACTGAAGATGCACTTACTCTCATCAAAAATTATGTTGGTGAGCCTAACAGTAAGGAGAGGAGAAAAAGCACAGCCATTGGGGACATTGAGTGTGTGTGTAAATAGCTCTACTTATGGGTATTTGGGTCCTTCAGGAATGGACAATGTTCTTGAAGTCAGAAGACTTGGGTGTGAGACTTGGATATGAGTCCTGGTTCTTCTTCTTTTTTTTTTTTTTTGGTTAGATGTATGATTTTCCATAAGTCATTTATACATATAAGCTTTCCTTTTCCTGTCTGTAAAATGGAAACAATCATAGCTATCATAGCTTTTCAGTGTTGGTGCATACTGGCATTATCTTGACTGATTCTCCCAGCAATCTGAGAAGGGAGCTAAGTTATTATCTCCATTATATCCATGAAAAGACCAAGGCCTGAAGCAATTGTTACCTGCTCAATATCAAATAAGTAGGAAAACCCATCTCCATCTTTCTAGATATCTATTTATATATATAGTGATTGAAATGGTAAAGGTTTGATAAATATAAATGAGAATACAGCATAATAATTGATATTCATTCTGCATAATAATAATTCTAATGACATTGAGAAAAGGTTGTGTCCATTATGTATTAATAAAGAAATAAGAAAGCCTAATGCATAACTAAAGACTTCTCTAGATAACATTATTTTCAACAATAACAAGAATGAAAGAAAAGAGAGAAAATGTAAAGAAAAAAAGGTGTTGATTGCTTAATAAAATGGAGTTTTTTTTTTCTGTTTTCTGTAACAATCACGTATGAAAAATTCCTGTATAAAGATCGACCTGTGGAAACTGATTTTCAAATGACTGATCTATCTACGTATATACAATTAGTCCAAATTAAGTGAAGAAAAGACTAGGGTCTTAATAGAAAAATGAAGTCGATTTAAGAAATAATGAGTTTGAGAGTATTGATCTTACAGACTATTAAGTTAACAGAACAATTTCAGTTTTTCTGAACTTCATTAATGCTGTTAAGTGGTTATTTCAGTTTTCCTCCTGGGCTGACTCGATAAAGCTATAAAGGTACTCTGCGTGGCTGTGGGGACGTGGGGAAGCCGAGACCGCCTGGGCCACAGCTGGGTGCACGCTTGCTCACCACCCCGGAATCACCTTGCCATACGTTGCCTTGTACTTCTGCTTGATTTGTTGCCTCTCCTCTGATGTCCTGCCCGACAAGATTTCAATGATAGCTGCTTCATTGGTTCCTAAAATACAGGAGAAACAAAGCCACAGTGAACAAGAAATAAGGTGGAAGTTTGTTTTAGTCCTGGGTGAGGAAGCCAGGACTCACAGCTTAAGGGTGGTTGGAGGCGTCTATGGAACCAAATGGACCCTCAGCTTTGATGCCTTGTGCTGCAAACTGTATTCTTTTCACTCACTTAGACAAATAGCCATTGAGGCCTCACAGCGCATGGCACACAGTGCTAGGCGTCGCTGTGGAAAGAGAAACAAGTATGACCGGTTCTCTAATTTTATTCCTAAGGAAATGAAAACCTATGTCCACACAACACTTGTATGTGAATGTTCGTAGCAGCATTACTCATAGTAGCTGCAAAGTGGAAACAAACCCAATGTTCATCACCTGAAGAATGAATAAACAAAATGTGGAGTCTCCATCCAGTGGAATGTTATTTGGCTAGAAAAAGGAATACATTACTGACAGATGAACCTGGAACACATGATGCTAAGTGAAAGAAGTCAATCATCGCAGATCACATGTTACATAATTCCATTCATAGGGAAGTCCAGAATAGGAGAATATACAGAGACTGGCAGTATACTAGTGGTTGGGGGTGGATGGACTGCCTAGGGGGATGGTAGCTGGAGTCCAGGGCTTCTTTTTGAAGTGATGAAATTGTCCTAAAATCGACTATAGGGGCGGTTGCTCGTGTCTGTGAGTATTAACAAAAACTGTTGAATTAAACACTTTAAAGGGTGAATTATATGGTGCATGAATTATATCTCAAGAAAAACGTTTAAAAAAACAACAAGGAAAAGTATAGGCTGTTTCCTGGCCTCTGGATGCTTACAATTGCATGAACAAGATTAAGATACAGGCTCAAATTGTTACAATATTAATCCCTCCCATGTACTTGTTAATTTCAGGAGAGAAGTCCTGATTGAAACCATGAAGAGGGGTTGCCCCTTTTAGCTCCTATTACCTCGGAATTATGCTATTTTTAAAAAAGATTTTTCCCTGATGCTCAAAGTAATGCAAGCTCATGGCAGCAATTTTATCAGTACTGAAAACTATAGTGAATAGAAAGAAGGGGAGAAAATCCTTGTTAGAACCAGGAACCAGGATTGGAAAGGTGACCCAGGTACTGCCAGTGTGGGAAGGAGAAGGACTGTTTCAATATCAAACCCCACATTAGATTTCTTCAGACTGGATTCAAATCATGGCTCCACCCTGTACAGACTACATAACACTGGATTTGCCTTGCCAAGTCTCAGTTTTCCCACCTGTAAGATGGGGGTAATAGTATACAAGGCTATTGTGAGAATGAAATGTGAGGATCCAAGTATGGGTCCAATCCATGGTGGTCCTAAGAGTGCACCTGGGAAAGCTGGGACACCAGGGGATGTAAATGATCAGGTGCCTGGCACTGCCTCACATCCATGCAGGGCTTGCACAGGGACCAGCCTCCATGAATTGCTCACCCCAGTGACTGAGCTCACTGGGATCAAGGCACAGCACTCAAGCAGTTGCAGGAGCTGGAGGAAGCGTCAGAGGCGGTCTAGTCCAAGATCTTATTTACAGATGAGGAAGCCGAGGCACAACACAGCGCCTCTTCTCCGTTCCTGCGTATACCTGACCGTTCTGCAGCATTTAAAATCTGCAGCTGGGAATTCTTTTCTTTGAGACAGGGTCTGGCTATGTCACCCCGGCTAGAGTATAGTGGCATGATCACTGCAACCTCCACCTCCTGGATTCAAACAATTCTCCTGCCTCAGCCTCCCGGGTAACTGGGATTACAGGCATGCACCACCATGCCCAGCTAATTTTTGTGTTTTTGGTAGAGATGGGGTTTCATCATGTTGGTCAAGCTGGTCTCAAACTCCTAGCCTCAGGTGGTCTGCCTGCCTCAGCCTCCCAAAGTGCTGGGATTATTTGTGTGAACCACCATGTCCTGCCTGCAGTTGACAATTCTTTGTGTGAAACACCTTCCTAGATGGCTTTGAACCTCCTTTCCTGGTTCTTCCTTTCTCCTCTCCATCACCTCCCTCTCAGCATCCTTGATTGGCCTTTCTTCTTCCATTTGCCTTTTGAACTCTGTTTTCAGTTCTCCCCTTTAGCTGGAGTCACTCCTTTCCCAGACCACTATCACCCTTTCACTGATGAAGCCAAGATCAGTGCCTCTAGCCCTAACTTCTCCTCTGAGTTCAGACCTTATTTTCAGTTGCCTGTAGCCAACTTCCCATGGATTTCCCAAGGCATCTCAACTTTCATCATAGCTTAAACTGAACTCATTTTGTCTATCCTTAAATCTACTCCCCACCCTGTTCCTTTGTCTCAGCACCTGGCATGACCTGTATTAGAGAAAATCCGAAGTCACCTTTGAGGGCCCACCTGTCTCTTTTACTCTCAAATACTACAAAGTCCCGTCTGTCTCACCTATGAGACACTCATTGACCTGTTCCTCTCCTTCACTGCTACTGTCCCTGCCTAACAAGCCCTAAGTGTTTTTAGCCCCCACCCCAATATCAGGCTTTGTTTTCTGCCATCCACCTTGGGACGCTCGCATGTCTTCATTTCATGCCTTACTTCAGATGCCTTTAGTGATTCCTCTTGACTCCTAGAATTAAATCAGAAGCCCTTACGGTGAAATTGAGGCTGCCTGAAGTTTGGTGTCATACTACTCTTCTGGACCCATCTCTGTGCACAGCAGCCCAAGGCTTGTTCATCTAATCTCGGCCATATTTAAGTTTCTGCTTCCTCTGTTCTTCCACAGCACGTTATGTACATGGATATTTGTAGGATCACTGCAGTGAGTATCTAAGACTGCAGTACGGAGAGTCTGAGCCCGGCACCTGGGCGGGAGGGGCCGCTGAATGGCAATTTGTCCTGTTACGGTGCCACTTCCTGCCATCTTGCTCTGGTTGGTGGATGGACCGGGATGATGGCTGCTACCCAGCTGAGCCATCGGGATCCTGAGGAAACAAGATTGTGCAGATGCTTTTTGATGGAAGGATTGAGAGCAGGAAAAGTCTAGGCCATGGGAATGGCAAATGAATGGAGGAAACCTGGCTGGAGATGGGGAAGAGAAAAAAAGGGAGCCCCGGAAAAAAAAATGTGAGTTGTTTTACCCTCCCTCCGCTCTGGCACCAGCCCTCAGAGTCGGCTTTGGAATGACAGAGACGGGACTTAGAAAGAGAGTTCTGAGCAGGAATCTGATTGGAGAACTGGGTTCCAAACCTTTGGGTCCTGGAACTGTTCACTTAACCTCAAGGAGTATTTTCACCTCCACAGCTCTGGGAACGTTTAGCTGTTTGGTTCCAACTGGAGAAACAGAAAATTCTAGGATGAACTCACTTGCAAAAATAGCAGGAGTGAGTTGTCTGCCTGGTGCTGGCTTGGTTCCCACACCAGGATTTACGTTGTTCCCCTTCATTTCCTTCCGGAGCTTCGCCTCCATCATGGGTATCCAATTACTCATTCTATGACGCTATTGTGATTTTTTTTTTTTTAAACTTCTGAGTGCCAGATATCTCACTTTAAAAGGGATTTCTTTTTCTTGTAAATATGTCTTGAACCTATTCGTTTCTTTTCATTCAAGCTGCTCCTGTCCCAGAGAAGGGCCTTGGCCTCTTGGTCCTGGATCCTGGCAGGTGCCAGGCTGGGAAGGAGCCTTTCTGCCTGCAGGAGGCCCATTCACTGCACTGGGCCAGCCAGGAAGCTGGGGCTCAAGCCTGGCTCTCCCTTTTCCCTCACCCCACATTCGCTCAGACTAAGGCCTCTCCAGCCCACCTCCTTAGTGCCCCTCAGATGCACACATTTCTCTCCATCCTCACCTCCACCCCATCACTCAGCAGAACGATGGATACCACCCACATGCGGGTTCTTCTCTTGCTCTCACTTTTTCCAATCAGCATTCACCGCCCCCAGAACAACCGTTCTGAAGTGCGGATTGGCCTGCTCACCCCTCTGCTCCAGACTTTTCAGTATAGGCCCTTTCAAATGCAGAATGAGGCTTCAACTCTCCAGTGGGGCCTATGGGGTCTTTCGGCCTCTCAAAGTCTCATCCTTCTACCTGTTCTCTCCCAAGCTACTTTCCACCCACCTTGTAGACGATTTGCAGCTCCTAGAACAAACAACACTTTCTCTCTCCCCTCTAGGCCTTTGCATAGGCTGTTCTCCCATCTGGAACACACTGATCCTCACCTCCACTCCCACTTCTTCAGGTCTCAACTGCCTGCACACTTCCGGACGGATGAGGCTTCTCTCCCTCTGTGTCCCTCGTGCTGCCTGCTCTTCCTGTCTCTACCGGGACACACTCCAAGTTCCAAGGGAGCAGACTGTTTTGTTTACCACCGTATTCCAACAGAAGGCTGTCAGTATTTATCAGATGACTTGCTGAATGAATGGATGCTTAAACGTGCATCTATGAATGAATGAGGAAGTTTGCATGTCATCACAATGGAACCTTGTCTCTGCAGTGGTGTAGGCTGCATGTGATACTCAGATGGGTCTGCACAGCAAGGACCAATAGAAATCCTCTCTGCTCTGATGTCACATAAAGCCCACATCTGGATAATCAGGAAAATGAAATTAATATTAAAAATAATAGTGTTTTTTAGACATTCTTTCTGGGAATCCTTTACAAAAAGCGAGAGACCAACCCAAATGCTTGTCAATGATAGATTGGATAAAGAAAATGTGGCACATATACACCATGGAATATTATGCAGCCATAAGAAAGGATGAGTTCATGTCCTTTGCAGGGACATGGATGAAGCTGGAAACCATCATTCTCAGCAAACTGACACAGTAACAGAAAACCAAACACTGCATATTCTCACTCACAAGTGGGAGTTGAACAATGAGAACACATGGACACAGGGAGGGGAACATCACACACCAGGCCCTGTAGGGGGATGGAGAGCGTTAGGAGAAATAGCTAATGTAGATGACGGGTTGATGGGTACAGCAAACCACCACGGCACGAATATACTGATCTAACAAACCTGCATGTTCAGCACATGTATCCCAGAACTTAAAGTATAATAATAATAACAACCTAATAAAAGTCTATGAAATTTTAAAGCTAAAAAAAGAAAGCGAGAAGCCGGATTGCAAAACAGTCCTGAGGTGGCCCAGCGACAACCTGGAGGTGGGGGAGGCTGTGAAAACGACACTGGATTCCCCCAAAGTCCTCTCTGAGTCCAGGTTTCAGGCTGTTCCGGGGATGTTTCTATACCCGGCCACTGAACAGTGACCTAACTCTACATTTCACAATATGTGTATCATATAAGCAGTGCTGCTGAATGATTTCCTGTAAATACTTAACAATGGTTTGAGGCACGAGCACTAGTCCCCAGTAGTTCTGGGAAAGGCCTTTTTTTAAAATGAGAAAAGAAGGAGCCACACGCTGGACACTGTAATTTCACAGCAGAGGTCACAGCCGGGGCGAGAATCAGCCTCAGGAAGTGCCTCCTGGCCTCCTTGGTTTTGCTTTTCCCAGAAATTTTCTGGGATGACACCAAGTCACATTTCAGCAGGAACGGGGGCCAGAGACAGGGTGGGAAGCCCCCCAGGCCCATGAGCCAGAGCAGTGATCGGGGCTGTGGTAGAGGCTCAGCTTTCCCTTGGGCTCCAATGCCAGCCCAGTCTGCCTTGCTGAGCCCAGGAGGCTGCAGCCCCCACTCTGGTGCTCAAGGGCCATTCTCTTCTGCTAGCACTGCTGGGCCGCAACGTCCCTCATTTCTCCTTGGGAAGTGGGAGTGCAGGGGAGAAAGATGAAGTAATGAATGGCACAGTCCTGCCTGCCTGAGCAGGTCACTGCTTCCCGCTCATCCTCTGTCTCAGTTTCCTGAGGCTGCTGATTCAATGACCACAAACTTGGTGGCTTGAAACAACAGCAGCCTATTCCCGCACAGTGCTGGAGCGTGGCAGTCTGAAATCCTGGTGTCAGCAGGCCCACAGTCCCATCAGCTGCCCCGCGGCAGAGTCTGTTCCTTGCCGCTCCTGGCTTCTGCTGGGAACCCTTAGCATTCTTGGGTTTGTGGCCATATCTCTCTAATCTCTGTCTCCATCTTCCCATGGCCTTCTCTCTGTGTGTCTCCTCCTCTGTCTCTTCTAAGGACGCTAGTCATTAGATTTGCGTCCTACCCAGGTAATCCAGGATAGTCTCATCTCAGGATCCTTAACTTAATTATCTCTGCAAGGACTCTTTTTCCAAATAGTCATGTTCACAGGTTCTGGGGGGATATATTTTTGGGGAGCCCCCATTCAACCCAGTTCACCCTCAGTAATGGAGAACAAGGGTGTACCTACTTGATGCTCATACGAATCTCATTGGCTTTGTGCAGATTTTAGATCCCAGAACAATATTGTTCCAAAGGAGGCAATCCACATATGATGAGGGCCACTGAGGTGCTGGGCTCATTGTTCAACTCCCACATATGAGTGAGAACATGTGGCGTCTGGTTTTCTGTTCCAGTGTTAGTTTGCTGAGAATGATGGTTTCCAGCTTCATCCATGTCCCTGCAAAGGACATGAACTCATTCTTTTTTATGGCTGGGTGGTATTCCATGGTGTATATGTGCCACGTTTTCTTTATCCAGTCTATCAATAATGGGCATTTGGGTTGCGCTCTTTTTTAAAGCATTCTCAGGAAGAAAGTAAAAAAAATATTATTATTATTATTTTGAGACAGAGTTTTGCTTTTGTTGCCCAGGCTGGAGTGCAATGGTGCAATCTCAGCTCACTGCAACCTCTGCCTCCCACGTTCAAGCGATTCTTCTACCTCGGCTTCCCATAGCAGGGATTACTGGCATGCCCAACTTTTCCTGGATAATTTTGTATTTCTAGTAGAGATGGAAATATTAATTGCATTTTCCTGATTATCCAGATGTGGGCTGCATGTGGCCTCAGAGTAGGAGGATTTCTATTGGTTCTTGCTACACAGACCCATCTGAGTATCACATACAGCCTACACCACTTCAGAGACAAGGTTCTGTCATGATGACATACAAACTTCCTCATTCATTCATTCATTCTTTGATACATACACATTCATTCATATAGGCTCTGCTGGGCTCTGTGTATATGCACAATGAGGTGCTGGCCTCTGCATAATGATTTCCTGGAGCTGAAGAGAGGGAGGGGCTGCTAATAGGTGTGGGGTTTATTTCTGGGGTGATGAAATGTTCTGGAATTAGTGGCGATGGTTGCAAAATCCTGTGAATATACTAAAACTCTGAATTGCATGCTGCAAAAGCGTGAATTTTGTGGTTTGCAAATTATATCACAATAAGCAGAAAAATTAATAAAACATTCTGTGGACTGAGATGGCTCCTACCTGTTGTTAATAATACTGAGCAATGTCTTCTCAGTCTGTCCCCATCCCCTCCAGGACTGCAGCCATGTGGCTGAGGTGCCCTAGGTAGGATGTCTCTAAATTGGTGGCATTTGAAGTGAGTGTTGAGAATAGGTTCACTCCCAGCGTTCCCCACTTACTGGCTTGGTGACTTTGACTGTCTTACTTAACATGGCAGATCCTTAGTTTCCGCAGCTGGAAAATTGATTTTTGTAAGAACTTGTTGAGATTATGTATATGAAGTGCTTAGCCCAATGCCTGAGAGCTTAACAGTTTCTCAATAATGTAAAAAAGAAAATCTGGGAAATGAATCCACTTTGCCCTTTGACCCCTCTGTCCCTTTCAGTGATTTCACTTGCTTGTTGTTCTGGAACTCCTGATCAGCAAACCTGGGTCAATCAATTTCTCATTTTACCTTCAAGGCTGCAAAATCACACAACCACATGGGCTGGAGCCACGAGAAACCATGATCTCCCTACTCAGCATGCCACACAGTGTGCATCAGTTGTCTTCTGTTGATGGTCTATCCCTTCTCTGCTACTCAAGGGCTATTTCAAGCCACCACTCAAGCCCCATACTCCATTGTCAAACCCTTCTCTTCAGCAGATAACCTCACCTCCCACTCACTGAGCAACGTCAGGTTACCAGGCATGGGTGCCTTCCATTTCTCCCCCAACAACACCATGAAGGTATCTACTCCAGCTGTCAGTCTCAGTGCCTTCCCTCCCTTTCCTGTTCAAGGGAAATCCTTGCATCTGTGCTTTGAATCTTACCCTCTCCCAGGCTTCTGGGACTAGACCTTGTGTCATGAGCAGCTTCCTTGAATCACAGGACCTCTCTTCACGGCCCTAGACTGAGATGCTCTCTCCCTCATCCCACCCTGGTCCCTGATCTGCCTTAGTTTTGACTTCTTGCTGAGTTCCCCACTCTTGGCCATGCACTGACCCTTAGGATATAAACAGCTTCTCCATTTTCAACTCTTGATTGTTGCTCTTGACCAATTTTGCACTCGTTTGATCTACTTCTACATGCCGCTTCGAGGTCCCTAATCCAGCTCTCATCAGACTCAATTTCCCCGTCATCTCCCAGGGAAGGGATCAGAGGGGTTTAGATCATATCAGGTGAGATGGATAATTCCCACATGTTGTGAGAGGTACCCAGTGGGAGATAATTAAATCATGCGGGTGGTTTTCCCCCTACTGTTCTCATGGTAGTGAATAAGTCTCACATGATCAGGTGGTTTCATAAGGGAAAACCCCTTTCACTTGGTTCCCAATTCTCTCTTGCCTGCTGCCGTGTAAGAAGTTCCTGTGCTCTTGCTTCATCTTCTGTCATGCTTTTGAGGCCTCCTCAGCCATGTGGAATTGTGAGTCCATTATCTCTCTCTCTCTCTCTCTCTTTTTTTTTTTTTGAGGCAGTTTTGCTCTTGTTGCCCAGGCTGCAGTACAATGGTGCGATCTTGGCTCACCACAACCTCTGCCTCCCAGATTCAAGCGATTCTCCTGCCTCAACCTCCCGAGTAGCTGGGATTACAGGCATGCACCACTATGCCTGGCTAATTTTGTCTTTTTAGTAGAGACAGGGTTCTCCATGTTGATCAGGCTGTTCTTGAACTTCCAGTCTCAGGTGATCTGCCTGCCTTGGCCTTCCAAAGTGCTGAGGTTACAGGTGTGAGCCACCACACCCAGCCTATAAACCTCTTTTTCTTTATAAATTACCCTGTCTCGGATATGTCTTTATTAGCAGCGTGAGAACAGACTAATACACCAGGATTGTATGAACTGTACTTCTCATGAGGGTTCTCTCACCTCAAGGTCGAATTAAATATCACACTATCCAACTCCTAACTCTTATATAGAATCCTGAAAAGTAACAGGATCTGACCATAATTTCGAGAACTTTAATAAAGAGGTCAGTGGAAGTGATTGACTTGAGTTAGCTTGGAATACACAGGACGGTGAGATGTCCCCTTCCTAACATCATGGGAAAGTTGGACAGGAGACCAAGTTTAATCAACTTCAGAAGTAAATTAGCAACAAAATATCTCTCATACCCATTCCTTTGCAGGCTTTGTTCAGCTTTTTGGCATCTCGATCCACATCAAAACCCTGAGGACTGCTTGCTTTAGCCTGGAAAAATAATTGAAAAGGTGAGATGACAATATAGACATGCCTAAATGATCTCTGGGTAAAATCAGTAGCAAACTAGAGGACCAAGCAGTCATCCTAACTAGGGACCAGCTATCACTTCACACACTGGCACATGTAGAAATCAGCTGTGGAGACTCTGGCCCCAGAGAGGTGACTGGTACTCCTTGGGGCCAGCTGGCCTTGGATGACCAAGAGAATGGGCCCCTCTGTTCTCAAAGATAATCATCCTGGCCAGCTCTGCAATGAGGGATTTTCATATCAACCTCACCTTTGTGTGTCTGCCTCTGATACAAAGAATAATACTGTGGGCCAATGTCCTGGATTAATGGTTCTCCCTGCTTGCCATGAGACACAGCTATGTCTAAGGAATAGGTCAGAAGCTGAGGGTTCTAGGATCTTACTACAGGTTCATTTGGTGACTTGTATGCCATCCATTCAAGGAGAGACATATGTTTTGGTTTGTTGGAGATACTATAGAACATAGTTTTGGTTTTAGTGCTCCTTAGGAAGATAAAGTCATGTTTATACACCATGCTGAGCTGTTTCTCATACTTTGGTAATTGGCATAATACATGCACTATTGCACCCACAGTTACCTGTGTCTAAATAATAAGCAAATTATTATTTGCTTATTTTCCTTTCAATTGACATTCATTTTTACTTAAAGTTTCTTAAAAAGGAAATTTTTGGAAGCACAAAAATGGAAACTCACTATTTCTTGCGTAAATGAAAGGTAACCATAAATACAAACACATAGCGATTAAAACCTGCAATTAACCTGTGAGGTTAATTGCAGTTATGCAGCTGGTAGCTAGAAACACACCCTGAGTTTCCTGTCTTTGCCTTTCCTCACAGAGCTTCTCCTAAGTGCTACGTGTCCATATATTTTCTTTTCTTTCTTTTTTTAAAATTTGAGACAGAGTCCCACTGTGTCATCCAGGCTGGAGTGAAATGATGTGATCTCAGCTCGCTACAACCTCTGCCTCCTGGGTTCAAGTGATCTCATGCCTCAGCCTCCCTAGTAGTTGGGATTGTAGGTGCATGCCACCACACCTGGCTAATTTTTTGTATTTTTAGTAGAGACGAGGTTTTGCCATGTTTCCCAGGCTGGTCTTGAACTCCTGAGCTCAGGCAATCTGCCTGCCTCAGCCTCCCAAAGTGCTGAGATTACAGGCATGAGCCACCATGCCCAGAGTGTCCACATCTTTTTTATCCTTGCGTGAAGGCTGGTTTAAGCGCTGCTGGTGGTACCACCGTGATTCAGCTCTCCCCGGCCTCATTTCCTTCGGCACCTAGTGGAAGCTAACAGTAAACTGCATGCGGCTCAGTGAGGATGTTGCCTTTCTCTGCACGGCATCCTTATTTTCCTTATTTCCCCTTCCCTCATTGTATGGCCTCTTGGAGGCTGCCAGTCGTGAGGCTCGAACCTCTTTGCCCACCCTTGGTCACCCATGTGGGCACGTGCCCTGTGACTCTGGCAGTCAGGATTGGTTCAGCAGTGTAGATGTAATCCAAGCAGGATTGGAGTCAATTAGAGTCTTTCCCTTGGCTGATATATAGATACTGAGAAAGATACACGTCTCTCTCCTACTGGGTCTGCTAGGGTGAAAGTGAGTGAGTGTAGGGCTCCTAGTGGCATTTTGTCCACTACATAAAATGGGTGGGGAGAGAGAAAGGAGGGGGGGGAGAGAGAGAGAGAGAGAGAATATAACACTGTACAAATCCGCAGACAGAGCAGTGTCTGTGTCCTTGGGCTTCCCAGTTTCATTAACGAACTTCCCTGGTCTAAGTTAATATGAGTTGGGTGTCCGTCCTTGTGATCCAAAGTATCCTGGCTAATATCTGTGGACTGAAGGCGAGCTGGCTTGAGGCTTTGGTTAATGAAGAATCACAGACTCCTAGAGCCAAAAGGATCTTCAGGGTCACCTATCACCTCCCTGCCTTTTGGAATATGAGGGCATCTTGAAGCATCTGTCCCTGACACAAGCCAGGAAGGGGACTGGCATTGTTGTACACCTTCTGTGTGCCAGGCAGTTTATAGCTCTTTCTTCATTATGCATAGGGAAGAGTGGGCATTACTAGTCTACCTGCCACATAAGGAAACCTGGGTTCAGGCAGGTTAGATCATTTGTTTGAGATCTTGCAGGATGCAGGACTGCACCCAGCTCAATTTGCCTCCTAAAGCCTTTGCTCCGAGCAGTACTCAATACCACCTTGCATTCTATGACTAGAGCTTCCATGATCCGACAGAGGGGTCGGATGACTCTGGAGTTGCAGAATGACACCTGCTGTTTTCCTTATCCAAATCTTTTGTGAGATATAAGAAAGCTATATGGTGCTTTTGAAGTCTTGTTGATGGGACTAGCTACATAATTTGCTGGGCTTAGTACAAAATGAAGTGCAGGGTTCCTTGCTCAAAAACGAGGAAGAATTTCAATAGGGTAACATGAGAGTATTAAACCAAGCACAGAGCCCTTCCGAGCATGGGGTCCTGTGCAGTTGCACAGGCTGCACACTTATAAAGCCCACCCTACTTTTGATCAAATTCTGAAGGCGCTGGTCCTCTGAGTGTGGAAGTAGTAACTTCAAAATCATAACAATGTCTTTGCTTTTCATCCAGAGTATTATGGAGTGCCCAGGAAGTGAGGCCAAATTGAACCAGGGCAACAGAAGTCTCTGATCAATAGGCTAATTCAGAAGCTGTTCTCTATGTCCTGTTAGCCTCATCAGTGCAGAGAATTTGGTGGGGCACATGATCTGTCCCACTTCACAACTAACACGCTGAAACAGAGACAAGGAGCTCTGCCAATGGCTGTGCGGGTTATGCCCTGGCTGAGGGGCTGGGGCAGAACCGAGCTGGGGGCACACATGCCAAGCCTGGTGCTGGCAGGACTGCTTCCCCTTGAGGGTCACCTTTTCCTCATTTGCACAAAGGAGCTGGGAGGGCTTGTGGAGGCTGTGTGGAGACTTGTCTAAGGCCACTTGGCCAGGCAGGTTGAGTGGGAGCTGGGGCTAGAATCTGATTCTGCCAGATCTAACACGACATGCCTGTCCCTCATCCCCTTCCTGTTTTAGGGAGGCCGTTCCATGATACAAATATCACAGAGTTATAGGAGCTCAGGGGTGAGACAAAAGGATGCTGTCAACATGCCCAAGACCAAAAAACCTAGTAAATCAGTGTCATTTGATCCAAAATAACGCTGGTATCTGGGAGGTGCAGCAGGAGAATGTTGAGTCGTGTTATGAACGAAGATAAAATTGGGACTTAATTTTTTCTTTTTTTACTTCTTAAAAAAATTTTTTTTGAGACAGGGTTTTACTCTTTCACCCAAGCTGGAGTGCAGTGGTACAATTTCAGCTCACTGCAGCCTCTGCTTCCCAGATTCAAGCTATTCTCCTGCCTCAGCCATCCAAGTAACTGGGATTACTGGCACATACCACCATGCCTGGCTAATTTTTGTATTTTTAGTAGAGACAGGGTTTCACCATGTTGCCCAGGCTGGTCTCAAACTCCTGAGCTCAAGTGATCCATTCGCCTCGGCCTCCCAAAGTGCTGGGATTACAGGTATGAGCCACCACACCTGGCCTTCTTTTTATTTTTTCTTTACAAATAATGTGGGTAGGACTCTGTATCAGAGGCACCACCATCAGCAGGACAGACTGAGGTCCCAGTCCCCTGACTCCCTACAGGAACCACTGATTGTCTTTCCTAATCAGCTTGAGAAGATAATTCAGACTTGTTCCTTGTAACAGCAGGATATTTGATGTCGAAGTGAAGGAATCATGTGATGTGATTTTAAAAGAGAAAGAGAAAGAAAACAGTCCATTTGGCGCTGTCCCCTCTGAATGGTGAGGCTGCCTCCACAATGGCCGCATTCAGAAGTGATGCTCAGTGCTGGTGCAACTGGTGTCCAGTGGCTTGTCCCCAGGAGCTGGGTACCGAACTTCTTCTCGGGGATGTATATGGAGCAGACATACCCCATCCATTGTTCATTGTTAGTGGGATAGACAGCTGATGATGGGGCCTCAGGCCTGTTTGCTTATCAGGAGATGTAGTTTTTGAAACCTGGAGCAACTGAGCAGAACTTCTGCATAGAGTGAGAATGCAAGTCAGGTACAGAACGGACTGCAGGGGCTCCAGGATGGGCTCAGACATGCTTGTGAGGCTTCAGGAGACCACACGGATGTTCCACTTGTTTTCAACTATGAGACCCTGAAGAGGCAGGGCAACCTTCCTTGTTCTGTTTTCTTTCCATTTGTTTATTTTTTAACAGTGCTTGCACTGACACTCAGGAGACAGATAAAAAGAGCACAAGATATTAAATGTCAGTAAAAATGATTTTAGAAGTCTGGGCTTTGGGCCCACAGGAATCCTGGTTTGGATGGATCTGCCTCTTAGCAGAGGATGTGGATCTGCCTCTTAGCAGCTGTGTGAACTTGGGCCATGAACCTCTAAGCCACCATTTCCTCATCTGTAAAATGGGGGCAGTCTCTGCATTGCAAGTCTTGAGGCTTGTGTCAAATAATTTCAAATGCCAGATATGCAGGGAACCACATCAACGTTAGTCCTTTCCCTGCCTCTCTGCATTTCTTGGCTTTTTGCCTTGTGATATTTATAAGATTTCACAAAAGTGATATTTGTGGAGATTTCAATTCTGCATATTTAGATTTAACAGGTTTGGAAGATATGTATACAAAGATATTTATATACACACACGTACCATATGTAGATATATAGGTTTCTAATTCATACATTTTGATCTCAGATGGATAGATGTCTCCCAAACTTGTCAAATGTTTATCTTATAATGCCCCAAGCAGCATCATTATTTATAATAGGTGGCCATTGAAGATATAATAGTAAAGTTGAAGAATGTGGCTTTATTGTCAGAGTGAATTTGAGTCCCAGCATAATTGCTTAGTAGCTGTGTGACTTCGGGCAAATTACAGAACCTCTCTGTGATGTGCTTTCTTTATGG